CATAGATTGACAAGTGCCCTTGGAGATAACTCGGGTGACTACTGAAGGTAGATTTGATTCAGTGTTTAGAACCAGTTCAGTATTTAGAAACCAGCACCAACAGATTCAGAATTAACGGCTCTGGGGGAGGACCCTGGGGTCATATAAGAGGATGCTCTGTAAATCGCCTCAGTCAGTGAGTTCGTGGGACAAGTGCTAGACCTGTGTGTTGCACACTTAGATGAGCAGAACAGTTCTGGATCCCCTACAACCTCCGGGATTTCTATTGCATGAGAATCATATAGGCAGATGCAATGCAACTCCACCACACCTGTCATAATCACAAACTTAAAAGTGGCCCAAAGGATATCAACTGATCCCTGAAGGAGAAGGGGCTGGAAATTGAGTTCAACCACATGGCCAATGATTCAATCAATCATGCCTACATAATGAAACCCCAGTAAAACCTTTGGGTACTGAAGCATGGGTGAACTTCCCTGGCTGGCAATACTCTGAGTATTGTCACACATCATAGCTGAAGGAAGTAACACCACCCAGGACTCTACAAGGAGAAGACAACTGGAAGCTTTACATTTGGACCCCTTCCAGACTTCACCTATGCATCTCTTATTTTAGCTGCTTCTGATTTGTATATTTTGCTATAATAAAATTGTAATCATAAGTTAAAAAAAAAAAAAGTAGCCCAAAAGAGTATGTGACAGGATTGTTACTCTGAAAAGCTCACAGAGTAAATGGGTCCTCAGAGAATGACAACATGTGAAAGAAATTTCTTCTTACCTGCATCCTTCCTTTCCTGCTTCCTTTCCCCCAAAAAAGGCTACTTTACCAGGGGTTTGGGGTTACTTTCTGTTAAGGAGGACGAAGTGAGGGGGAAAGAAATGGGCACTCCAGCATTCTGGAAGTTTACCCATCCTTTTTCCTGGCTAGGGAGCCACATGGCAGCCATTGAAAAATCTGGAGTTTAGAGTCCTCGTTCATATTTTAAAAGACTTTAGTTGAACTAAGTGATTCCATTTTTATCACATGGGTCCTATGAACATAGAACAATGAAATCCCTTCATAAATGTAACACTGCATTTAGGAATCAAGAGTAATTGGTTTGGAAAAGACAGACACTTGTATCTTCTTATCAGTTGTGGAAACACTGCCCTCCCTTCTCCCAAGCCAAGTTAATTAATTAACACTACGAGTTTTTGAGACATTTTGAGGGGGAGTGGGTAAGAAAGAGAGGGGGAAACTTCAGATTAGGGTCTTTTATTTGGTTCAAAACAGTGTGTCTTCTAGTCTCTTGAATTTACTATGATGATGATCAGAGAGTCAAAGAAGAAGCCAGGCCCCAAGGATGAAGGAAACCCAGGAAAGGTGATGGGATTCATTCCCAGACATGTTGAAAATACCCAGCTGGGGCACGTGGTATAAGGAAGAAACTCTGCTACCATCACCTTATGCCATGAATTTGTGGAACTTTCTGAATAATTTGTACAAAATCTCAGAAGGAACTTGTGTGGCCCATTTTTATCCAAGTCTGTGATTCAGTGGGACACAGATTCATGAGCCTGTGGTCACATCCAGTTTGCTTTACTGAACTATCTGGGGAAAACACTGATCATTTTTACTACATAGCAGTTGATCTAAACAATCAGGGAAAAAATGCAAATAGTGTGGAGAAGCTGGATCTACCATAACACGTCCCTCCTATGAGCTCCCAGGGCACCCTCTGTGTTCACCTCTCCCTACCACTTGACATACACCATTGTAACGGCCTGTTCACTTGCCTGTCTCCCCAACATCCTTCAAGTCAGGGACTGTGCCCTGTTCATTACTGTAACACCTCTGCCTAGCACAGAAGAGATGACCAATCATGTTTATGAAATGAATAAATGAATGAATGAAGAGCAAAGTGCTTCCCTTCTAGAGTAATTAATTCTACCTCGCCTAAATTAAGCCCACTTCTTTAAGTGTGAGGAAATGAGTGGTTATATTACAGAGCATGCAGAAATAAATGATTATCTCATTTAATAATGAGCTGGGACCAATAATAAAAATTGTCTGCCTGTTGTTCCTTAGTTACTGCTCTGCCAAGTAGCCCAATCTGTTAGCTGACATTAAAGATCTAATTTAATTAAATCTTGAACAAGGCTCAGAAAACCTACTGAGGGCACTTTGTTTAATTACAGGCAAGGGGCAAGCACCAATCTTATTGATCTGGTCAGTTCAAATTCTATACAATAAATGTGGGCAATGGAAAAAAAAAAAATGTGACCTCAATTGCTTTTTAGGCAACTTTGATGAACTGTGGAACCAGAGATGCTATAAAGAAAGCAAAGGCAAACCAGCCATGTATCATGTGGTATCACAGGGATAGAAATGAAACCATACCTCAGTCACTCCACAGAGCTACACATCATGAAGAACAGAAGACAACCAACCACAAACGACAGATTCCTCCTCAGAGAAATGAAATAAATTGGGTGGTGGTAGGTGGAAGTCATCCAGCATTTAAAGTCTAGTAAACTGGCATTCAAAGGCATCTAGCAAATTCTATGAGACCCACAATTGTTGAGAAACAAATCTAATTAATGGGTATATATACAAATTCCTGAGAACATTTCCAGTTGAGGAAAAGATACAAGTTCTTCAACATATTTTTATTTGGAGGTAATTGAAATATAAATTAAATACATTTATATAAAGCCATATTAACTGCAAAACTTAAAAGGTAATAAATGTGATCAGAAGAAAGGTTTTGACTATTCTGTGTGTGTGTGTGTGCACACATGTATGTAGTTATTCAGTGTTTATCTTAGTTCTTCAAATATGTAAAGATTGTTAGGAGAAGGAAAAAAGATATGGTGATAAACTTTCCAGATCACTCAGCAGAGAACTCTGGATTTCACCCCAAACAATTACTAACATTTTTTGAGCATGGGTATTGTCTAAGTGCTTTGTGAGTATTATCTAATTTTCCTGCACTGGGTACTATTATCATCCCTGCTTCATGGCAGAGTAAACTGAGGCACAGAGAGGTTAGGTAAGTTGCCAAAGACCCATGGTGACTTGGTAGGTCAGGCTGTGACCACAGGCAGTCAGGCTCCAGAGCCCTGGTACATAGCATACCAGGTATTAACACTATGCTGTTATCAATACTAACCTCCAGAGTTGGAGAAAAAACTTGAAGACGGAGGATTGGCTTTTTATCTTTTGCTAGTCACAATCAAGGACTGTCTTGTACTTTAGTAACTCAAGTTAGAGGAGGAAATTTATTCTAAACCACAATATGTAATTACACCTAAAACCAACATCTCCTTCACAAAACATGCCATGAGAACGCACATATTAAGAGCAAGCACACCTAATTAGGGCATTAGTCATAATGATCAGGGCGTGTAACCCAGGAAATTACAGGCGGTGTGGGCCTTAGCACTAAGTGAACTTCATCAGCTGCCCAGATAAAGCCTTTGCTGACTGGGATGATTTACACCTGCTGATGCAAGTGTGGAGAACCGCATCCGATACAGCTGGGTGCTGAAAATAAGCCTATGCATGTGAGTTCAAACAAAACGATGTTCAGATATGAGAGGTAGGAATGCTGGCCTTTTAATTATGACATTAGCCACAAATGAGGAAAAGAGTTGATAATGTTCAAAAATAGTAATTTTTTCCATATTCATACATAATAGCAAGTATGAAAACTTGCATGTGCATTAAAAACAGAATGATTTACATATGCTGACCTTATCGAAGAACAAGTTAAAGAGCAATGGTGAAGGATGATGAAATCCACTAGATGTATTTTTTTCCCCACTAATTCACCTTCATCTTTGGGCAAAATTACTGGTCAGAGCACAACTAAAAAGCAAGCTTCTAATATTGCCACAATTGAGAAAGAGAGTAGAGGGAGTCTAGAAATTCAAAGTGAAGTTCAGAGGAAACTGTTTCTGATTGAAGAATTCATTGCTTCACCCCCAGCCCAAATCACAGATCAAATTCACAGCCAAACAAAGAAGTACTTGTGGGTTCCTGAGAAAAAACTCCATCTTTGGAAAGCGGAGTGCTTTAGCGACTCTGCCAAACATTTCTACCCTGAAAAAACAGCTCCTTTAGTAATGGATGTATTTCCTAAATAAAGTGGTTCTCAAACTGGTTCAGGCCAAAGAGCCATTGGTACACTGGGGTGAATACCAGGAGTTACTCTTACATACACAAATATACACACACACTTAACACACATATACATACACAGAACATATATATACGTATATGATTATTTTAACTTGAGTCTGCACTAGAAGAGATAACATTTCACATTAGACTCAGTGAGATAAGTGACAGCAGGTACTATAAACTTAAAGAAAAACTTGTAGAAGAAATGGCAAAGGGGAAAATGCCATATATTTTTGCAAATTAATTATTAGTCTATCTTAAAAGAAGAACATTTTAATTGAGCTTGGGAAAGACGCGTGTACCCTGGAGAATGGTTTGTGAATCAGTGCCCTGATATAATTTTACCATCCACTTAGATTTGAGATTCCAGAGAATAGTGTTTTTTGTGTGTGTGTGAGGAAGATCAGCCCTGAGCTAACATCTGCCAATCCTCCTCTTTTGTTTTTTTGCTGGGGAAGACTGGCTCTGGGCTAACATCCATGCCCATCTTCCTCCACTTTATATGGGACACCGCCACAGCATGGCTTGACAAGCAGTGCGTCGGTGCGCACCCGGGATCCGAACCTGCGAACCCTGGGCCACCGCAGTGGAGCATGCGCACTTAACCGCTTGTGCCACCAGGCCGGCCTGAGAATAGTGTTTTTTAAAATCTTACCTCCACACCTCATGCTTTCCAACTACTTTTAAGAATGACTTCTTAACAAGAAGGGGATGGTGAGTCCCAAGACTACAAATGCCACAAAACTCTTGGGGCTGCCTTTGGCTCTACATGCCAGCTTCTCTTAGCCCCACATCCTCTGGGAGGGGCCCGGCCACGCTGGACCTGGCGTGCTCACCCTCCTCCGGAGCCGGTCCCGCTCCTCCCGGATGGCGTTCATGGTGGCCTTGGTCCTGTTCAGCTCTTCCTCTTTGCTGCACAGCATGGCGGTCAGGCTCTCATTCTCTTCCCTCAGCCCAGCCAGCTCCTTCTCCCAACGAGACCGCTCTTCAGCCAGGTTGGGATACAGGTCTCGGCCAAGTACCCCCTCAATTTCCTCGACTGTCTGGAACACAGCCAAAAAGACGAGCCAAGTGAGTTATCTTGGAGAAAGGGGTGGGGAAGAAAACAGGTCAGACGGGAGCGAGTGTCCACAGAAGAGTGGGTTTTAGAGCCCCTTCATTGCAAACAGTAATCACGACTAGTGACACCCCCCATCATCCTCTCTCTCCATTTTCAGATGAGGTTCTGTCACTTCCCTGGGTCATAGTGTGTGTTACCCAGCAGTGCCCAGGGTAAGAAAATCAGTCCCTTCCTGGTGTGCAAGTCTGTCTGTGGCACTAACTGCCGTGTCCACACAGATGTTTATCTCCTTTGTCCATGTTCCAGAATTGACGAACACACACCACCAGACAGCAAGCCAGTTAGTGATCCTGATAATGCAAATATGAAGCAGCAAACTGCATACAAAATCTAACTTGAAGTTTCCTAAATTATAGGCCTCCCGTGTTCCAACTCCGCAATACAATAGGTCACATCACTCTTTCCAGCTTTTAGTGTCACATCAGAATCCAGAGGGTGTGAATGAGGTTCAGTCCCAAGATGTGAAAGACAAAAATAAACCTCAGTGACACAGAAAAGAGGAAGCTCATGGTGGAGCTTTCTAAGACAGCGGGGATTTAATTAATTAATAAGACAGCTATGAGCTAAAATAAATAGAATCTTAATAGTAGTTGGAGAGTTTTTTAAAAATTCATTTAAAACACAGTATTAATGGAGAAGAAACATGCATAAAATTAGAAAAAAAGGAAGAACTCATTCTGCTTGCTTTCAGAAACTATACCTTCACATTTATTGTCCTTTGGAAAAGGAAGCATAAGCCAAGTGATATGGAAAGAGGAGGGAGAATTACTATGTAGGGGTGGAAGGCAGTGAAGAGATGTGATGAGAAACAGAAGGTCTCAAAAATGAAAAATGTGCGGGTATGTCACTCTTGGATGCTCACATGGTTCCCTGATGAAGACACACACCCAAATCTCGCTGCCCCTCTCCACATGTGGTGCTTTGTCCTTCCTCTCAAATCTGAGACTCTTATTCTACTCAGCCCTACTCCAGGCCCTGCTCTGACCCTTGCTGGTTGGCAGAAATGCTTGGCCTCCTCCTTCCCTCTCAATGCTGAGGCCAAGGCTAGTACCCAAGTTGACATTACATCAAATATACGGCCTAGGAGACTCCAGAGAAAGAAACACCAGTAGTTGCCTACCCAAACCACATCAACTATATACTTATAATTGAGATGAATAAAGATGGAAAACCAGCTGTGTTACAAACACGAATCATGGTTTATCTAGGGAAACTACAGCTCTTTTGTGAAATCCAGGATTCCTTCTGATAGAAACTTGGGCCTAGCGTCCTAAGACATTTTTCAAATAACACATCACATTTTCCCTTTACATGGGCTCCTCCCAGACTTCTCAGTTTGCATTGCTATGCCCAGGTCACTAGGCTATGGTGAAGTAATATAAAGACACGAGAGGCCCAGTCTCAACAGGACTTGACGTTCCCATTGTTCATGATGAATCTGTGCGGATGCAGCACATTCCTCTCACCTGGTCCTCCCTGAGCAGTAAGATGAATGCATGTGAAAGGCGTGGCTGAGACCAGCCCAGTGTGCTCAGGATAGATGACTCACCCAGGCCCTGCACTTCCCTCCTGTTAGCACCGTGGATTCATAACTCCTGAAATAAGATTCTAGAGGCCTTAAAGCTTTAATAAAACTCCCACGTTATTCTTATAGCCTAAGAGGGCTATAGGATGAACCACACTAAAATAATGCAGTCCCAAGGAAACTGTAATTTTTGCTGCAAAGCCAGTGATCTTGACTGTCGATATAATGACTTTTTCTAATGTGATTCAGCCCAAGAAAAATTTATAGGGCTCCTGCTTCTCCCTGGTGGCCCAATCTATAGCATGGCTTTCTTAGAAACACTCATCCCTAACAGGTATCTGAGAAAACCACACTTCAGAGGACAGGGATCTGCTCATTTCCCTCCTATGATCAACAAGAGCCGGATGGGGGAGGGGGAGCTACCTTAATAGCCAAGTCACAGTGCTCACTGGCCGTGGTGAGCTGCTCGATGTGCCTGTCCACCTCGGCCACGGACAGGCTGCAGCTGCTCTTCTTCCTGCAGCAGACGACATTCTCCAGCCCCGTCAGCACCCTCTGCAGCTCCGAGTTCAGGTCACTGCAGTTATCTGTGAGTGAACGTGGACAAAATGCATTAAGCAGGCAGGCGGGCAAAGAATGCTCTCCTTGTGGCTTACCATGAAGAACTCATTCAGGTAAAATGGAATGGCAATGGAGCTTGACATTTCAAGGTTTAATGCCATGCAGCCTAATGTCACAGGCTGCCAGCACTGCTTCTGAGGCTTGGAGCCAATGTAAAGCCTTCGTTGAGGAGTTTCAGACCATGGCCATTTTCTAGATAGCCATGCCACGCTGAATTCTCTTGTCTTTTACTAGAAGGCAGCCACATCTCGAGTTTCTTTAGTAAGAACAAAGGAGTGTCCCAGAAGAAGCGGTTGGGACTTCAGAAGCCTTCTGGTCGACCCCTCTGCTCAGCCATTCAGACAAGCACTGTCTGCAGAAAGAGTTTCAGCAAAGATCTCATAACTTTACTAAACAAAACAAAAAGCCCCAGAATGAGCAGACACCAGGCATAATAAAAAATAGAAACTGTGCAAAAGACAGTCCTTGCCCTCAGTGAGCTTATAATCAGGACTTTTTTCTGATATAACCAATCAACATGCTCTACCATTGCAATTTAACCAACTTCTTCCATCAGGGCAAAAATAAGCTGTTCTAACAAACTGTATATTGTTCTCCATGTAAATGTCTTGTAAGCAATTCTAATAATTTGATTCTGACTTAAAAATCTGAGTTATTTTTAATTGCTGGGCACTTAGGGCCTGGTCAGGGGAGGAAAATTAATTATAATCTTAATGTGAACTAGACATATCTTAGAAGATGATTTTGTTGGGGAGAAAAAATCCCCTTAAACTCAAATACAAATATCTTAACCTATTTTGGATTCTATGTATCAGTATACGATTCAATTCTTGTAGCAAGACAGGTGTTAAGTACATGCAATCTCTCCAAGTACATCCTTCCCCACATCCAGCCTCATTCCTGCATGAAAGAAGCTCCTCCTTCCTTCTCATCATAGGTTCCATGCACTAAACTGGCCAATTGCTTTCGGTGCTTACCTTTAGAAGACTTCAAGAAAACTCTTAGCACTATAGGAACAGGATTTCTTACAATATTCCGGTCAACCTTATTTGACTGCCTATATCCATATCAAATTATCTAGGTCTAGAGAGAAGATAAGCCTGAGGCTTTCACTCCAACCAATGAATACAATTATCCCCCCTCTTCTCAAACCTGTTCCTCCCTCATCTCTCCCATTTCTGTGAATGGCACCACCATCCACCCAGTTACTCAGGTTAACTCTCAGGCAACTTTGATTTCTTTTTGCCTCACATCCTAAACCCAATCCATCTTGTGACCGCAACCTTCAAAACTTATCCCAAAAGTGACCTCTTCTTACCATCTCCACTGATACCAGCCTTGGTCCAAGCCACCAGCATTTCTCAACTGAACCACCTGAACAACCTCCTCCCTCCACTCCCCATACTATGGCCAAAGTGAGTCTCATAAGGACATAAGTCAGATCATGTCACTCCCCTAGCCCAAAACGTCAAATGGCTTCCCTGATCATTCAACTGAAGTCCAAACTCCTCACCAGAGTCTGTAAGACTCTGCATGATCAAGACTGATGATGTTCTCAACCCAGGCTGTGCCATGGAATTCCCTGGGGAGCTTTTATAAAATACCAATATCCAGGCCCCACCCTAGGTCAATTAAATCACAATCTCTGGGGGTGGGGCTTGGCCACTGGAAAATTTTTTAAGTTCTTCAGATAATTCCAATGTGCAATCAGGGCGAGAACCACTGATCTATCTGGTCCTTGCCTCATCTGTCTTCCTTGCCCCTCATTGACTACGCTCTGTTCACACTCCTGGCCTTCTCTCCATCCCTGGAACATGCCAATCTCCTCTCTGCCCAGGGCTTCCTTTTCCTTTGCTAAGACTGATTCCCACCCACATCTCTATTTACATTCAGCTCTCACCTCAAATGCCACCTCCTCACCAAGCTCTTCCCTATCTAAAGCATGCGGTTCCATCTCCTCCCCCTGCTCAGTCCCTATCCTATTAACCTATCTTCTTCATGCCAATCGTCACTATCTGATCTGACTTATGTGTTTGTTATCTCTCGTCTACTGAAGCAAAGCTTTATGAAAGAAAGGACCTTGATTTTCCTTATCATTGTATCTCCAACATCGAATAGTGTAGGCGGTCAAAAACTATTTTTTAAATGAGCAAATATAAACACCACATCATTATATATTTAAGAGACAGCAAGACTAAAAACACAGACTTTGTCAACAGCAACATGTTTTACATCAACTTTGTCCATGCTCTTTGTCCTTGTTATGGATCACGCCCCGAGCTGCCAACAGCTGGGGGATACTCCTCACTGCAGAAGGCCTTCTGGAGATGGAGGGCAGATGCCCACCACCAACTCAAGGCAAGGAGGTCCAGAGCCAGAAGCAGCACTCCTCAGCCACCACACATGCTGGTGGAACTGTCTCCAGCACACACTTAATTCCAGGGAAATAACTGGAGGAGTTTCTCCGAACGATCATTGACCTTGAGGTGCAGGGTTTCCTGGTACCCTGAGCTGGAGTGAATACACGCTCCTGAATTATTTGCATTATTAAGTGCTTATGAGTGGGATGAGAGAGAAAGATACCTCTATTCAGCCATTCCATGTGAATTTCCCTAGCAGAGCTCCATCTGATCAAGTGATCACATTGGACATGCCTGCTGATGGGCAGACTGTATCCCAGCTGTATCCTGAGGATGTTGGGCTATAGAGAACAAGAGGAAGGTGTAGGGATCTGACCAGTATTTCTTTCTCATTCTTTAATCAAATAGTTGCTGAGCCCTGGCCTCAGGCCAGATGCAGGGTACAAAGATGAATACAAGACTATCCTCAACTTTGAGAGGCTCACAGATGTACATGGCAAATACCACAGCCCCTCCTCTTGGCTCTCCGTACCACCCTGGGGAAAGTTACCACAGAGAAGATGACGCAAGCACAGGACAGGGAATCAGGAGGACTGAGGAGGGTACTTAAATTAAAATACAGACTGGAAACAGCGAAGGAAGATCTTCTCTTCAAACCAAGGAGGGCCATCAATGTGTCCCTTGGTCTTAGGAAGCCCAATGTGTAAAACACAGGTTGGATGAACTCCATACACTCTCGCCTGATAGCCACAGGACTCTGTACTGTGGTTTTACACAAGCCCCACTAGTGATCAGGTGACACTTGGCTGTCCTTTGTCATTGTTGCCTGTTTGGAGCCTCACAGGAGGACAAGGTGACCAGACTGGCAGGAGTGGATATTCTGGGTCCCCTTGTTGGAATGCTGTCACATAGCACCAATCACTCACCACCATTCACTCCAGCATCAGCGCTGCTCGATACAGGGTGAATTATCTTTCAGTCTGTGGCATATTCTTCTAAATATAGACTTAGGATAAATTCTTCATTCTTTCCCTTGGCCTACCATGCCCTGCACAGTCTGGCCCCTGCCAGACATCAAAGGCTGAGGCAGTTGGAGTTTTTAAAAAAGACAAGAGGTGTAAGTCAAGGGATCAGAGGAGCAAGATAAGCTCATACAGGGGACCATGTGTTCCAAAATGAACAAAAGGTGCCTCATGTACAAATCAAAACCACAGTAAAATATCACCTCATCAGAATGGCTACTATATAAACAACAGAAAATAAGTGTTGGTGAGGAAGTGAAAAAACTGAAATCCTTGCACACTGTTGATGGGAATGTAAAATGGTGCAACTGCTTTGGAAAACAGTATGGCAGTTCCTCAAAAATTAAAAATAGAACTACCATATGATCTAGTAATTCCACTCCTAGGTATATATCACAAAGAATTGAAAGCAGGGCCTCAAACAGATCCTTCTACATCCATGTCCATGGCAGCACTATTCACAATAGCCAAAAGGTGGAAATAACCCATGTGTCCATCAATGGATGAATGCACAAACAAAACGTGGTATATACGTACAATGGAATATTACTCAGGCTTAAAAAGGAAGGAAATTCTGACACATGCTACAACACGCGCGAACTTTGAAGACGTTAAGCTAAGTGAAATAAGTCAGTCACAAAAGGACAAATATTGTATGATTCCACTTACACGAGGTACCTAGAGTAGGCGTATTCAACAGAGACAGAAAGTAGAACAGAGGTTACAGGGGTTGGGGAAGGGGACAATATTGTTTAATGGATACAGAGTTTCTGTTTGGGAAGATAAGAAAGTTCTGGAGGGCGGGCCCCGTGACTTTGCGGTTAAGTGCGCGCGCTCCGCTACTGGCGGCCCGGGTTCAGATCCCGGGCGCGCACCGATGCACCGCTTCTCTGGCCAAGCTGAGGCCGCGTCCCACATACAGCAACTAGAAGAATGTGCAACTGTGACATACGGCTGGCTATCTGCTAGGGCTTTGGGGAGAAAAAGGGAAAAAGAAAGGAGGAGGATTGGCAATAGACGTTAGCTCAAAGCCAGTCTTCCTCAGCCAAAAGAAAAGGATTAGCATGGATGTTAGCTCAGGACTGATCTTCCTCACAAAAAAGAATATAATAAATAAATAAAATAAAATAGGTATACAGTTAAAAAAAAAAAAAGTTCTGGAAATGCATAGTGGTGATGGCTGCACAACTCTGGGAATGGACTTTAGTGCCTCTGAACTGCACACTTGACATGGAACTCCAGTGTGAAGAGTGACACGGAGGCAGACCCGCTGCGCAGCTGTGCTGTGCTTCATGTAGGAAAGGTGACGGCTCAGTCCCATGTCCATGAGACAAAGAGGAGGCCCTTTGCATCAAATACATATTCTTCTACCAGAGGTTATTCATATCTGTCCAAAAAAGCATTTGAGGTAGCATACAGCAAACACCCACAAATAAGGGAAGAACAGTGATTGGGACCAGGGAAAGGCTGAGGAAGCTAACACAGCTCTGAGGCTGACTCTTCTCCTTAGCCCTGAGCTTCCTGGCAGCCAGAGCAAAAATGAATTATCTCTTGTCAGAAAGGAGGAAGCAATCCAGTTTCACA